ACCTTAACCCCTTCAGGACGGGTGACGGACGAGGTCCGTCACACAGGGGAGACCCTTAACGACGGGTGACGGACCTCGTCCGTCACGCGGTAAAATTAACCCCGGATCGCCGCTATCGCGGCGATCGCGGGGTTAATGGTGCTCCCGGTATGCCTCTGCATTGGAGGCATACCGGGAGCACCCGGTCAAGCTGCCCAGCACATGTGCTCGCTCTGACCACAAGTCGGAGCGAGCACATGTGCTCTGAATACTCACCTACCGGCTCCCTGCACTTCCGGGTTCTGTGTGAAGTGCAGGGAGCCGGATCAGTGCTGATCCTGCCCCCTGCTGTAAAAAAAAATAAAGTTAATTTAAAGTGTCCCCCCCCTTACCCATTTTAATAAAAAATTAACCCCTTCCCTGCCAATTGATCACTGACTACAGTGATCAATTGGCAGGGATTACATTTTACTATGATCTGATTTTTTTTTTTAACCCCTGAGGGTTAATTCTTTTTTTTTTAACCCTCAGGGGTTAAATTAATTAAATTAATTAATTAAATTATTTTTAAATTATATATTTAGATAGCTGGGGTAGGTGGAAGTTAGTGGGGAATTGGGGGATTTGACGTTAGGCTAACTAGGGGTTAACGTTAAAAAAAAGTTTTAAAAGAAACTTTAAAAAGTTAAAAATTAAGCTTAAAAAAATGTTTTAATAACATTTAAGTAATAAAAACAAAAAAACACACTTTACCTAGTCCAAATAAAAATTAACCCCTTCCCTGCCAGTCGATCACTGCCTACAGCGATCAAATAGAGATCACAGTATTATACTGTGATCTAATTTTTTTTAACCCCTGAGGATTAACTTTTATTTATTTTTTTTAACCCTCAGGGGTTCAATTTATTTAATTAATTAATTTAAATATTTTATAACTATATATTTTGCTAGCTGGGGTGGGTGGGAGTTATGGGAAAATGGGGAATTTACTGTTAGTGCTGCGTACTGCTAGTTAGGGGTTAACAGTAAAAAAAATAGCTTAGAAAAATGTTAAATCTGTAAAAAAGTTTTAAGAAAGTTTAGGAAAGTTTAAAAAAAATTTATAAGCAAAACAAAAGTTTAAAAACTAGTTTTTAAAAGTAAAAAAGTTATAAAAAGTAAAAAAATACATTTTAAAAACGCTCATTACCACTACACCTGGAACAAACTAGAGAAAAAATTATCCCACGCCAAGGTTCAAAATATGCCTTTTGAATTACCCCAGGGTGTATTCTTTAATAAATAGTATGTGTTTGTGGGGAAGTTTCAATAACCAACCGTCTAAACTATTCCAAATTGGAACATGGACACAGCGTAAAACTTCAAAGTTAGAAAAAAACTGAATGGCTGCGTCTCAAATGCGCCCCTTCAACATCCACATATACCTGGCAAAGGTACATACGGGGGTATTGCTGTACTCAGCCGACATAGCTGAGCAACATATGAAGTATTATACAGTCATAGTACACATAAGGTTTGCAAAATATGCTGCGCAAACTCACTTTGTATGTCAAAAAGGCAGAAAAAATGCTTATTACCACTACACTTGGTACAAGCTAGCGGAAAAATGATCCCACACTAAGGTTCAAAATATGCCTTTTTAAATACCCTGGGATGTCTTCTTTAAGAAATGGTATGGCTTTATGGGGAATTTGGATTATATAGCCTGGTAAAATACTCTAAAATGGGACATAGGCACAGCATAAAAATTCAAAGTTTGAAAAAAACTGGAATGGCTGTGTCCCAAATGTGCCCCTCCGATGTCCACACATACCTGGCAAAGGTACATACGGGGGTATTGCTGTACTCAGCCGACATAGCTGAGCAACATATGAAGTATTATACAGTCGTAGCACACATAAGGTTTGCAAAATATACTGTGCAAACTCACTTTGTATGTCAAAAAGGCAGAAAAATGCTTATTACCACTACATCTGGTACAAGCTAGCGGAAAAATGATCCCACGCTAAGGTTCAAACTATACCTTTTGAAACACCCTGGGGTGTCTACTTTAAGAAATGGTAGGCCTTTGTGGGGTAGATTGAATTTAAAACCTGCGAAGATGCTTGGAAATTGCACATAGGCCCAGCGTCAAAATTCAAAGTTTGGTAAAAACGGATATGGCTTGGTCTCCTATATGGCACTGTAGCTTCACAAAATAGTGACAAAGACATTCATTGGGGGTGTATTTTTACTCAAAAGACTTAGCTGAGCATAATTTGGGAGGTTTGAACTTAGTGGCACATATGAAATATACAAAACGCCCAGCAAAAATGCAATCCGTATGTAAAAAATGCACAAAATAATTTTTTTACCACATACTTTGGCATATATTGGTGAAAAAATGGGGTATGTTAAGGCACAATATGCACCTTATGAGATACCCTGGAGTGTCTACTTTTACAAATGGTAGGCCTTTGTGGGGGTTTTTTGAACAGTCAAACTGTTATAATACCCCAAATGGAAGCTAAGGCTCATTAAATTCATCTCTCAAAATTCTACTGTGAATACTGAAAAGGACAGGTATCCTGTATGGCACTGTAACTTCACGAAATAGTGCAAAAGACATACAATGGGGGTGTCATTTTACTCAGCAGATGTAACTGAACACAAAATAAAACTTTGTACAGGAATAGCACACACCAACTTTACAAAATATACACGAGAATTTCTCTGTTATAAGTTTGTGTGCCAAAAACCAAAAAGAACACAATTTTACTCCAATATTTAGCAGAGGTTGGCGGTAATATGGCTACGTAGAAAGTGTCAAAACAACCTTAGGTAAATAGCCCGTGATGTCTACTTTATATAAATATATACTTTTGTGTGGCAATTTTGTTTTCTTTTATGGCTATTAAGCTTACAAGACAAACATACCAAATTCTAAAATCGCTCCACATTAAAAGTTTATTTTACTCCTTGTGCTTTGTGACCTGTAACTACCAAAAAAAACTTAAAATCCCAGACACATTATATATTCTGTAAATCAGAACAAATAAATAAATTTATTTTTAATTACTTTCCTTAACCTGCACTAATTATGCACATTATTATTGCAAAAACTGTAAAAAAAAACAATATTTTTCATTTTTTTTGCATTTTTCTGTATTTTTTTATAATAAGTAAGCATTTATATATATATATATTATATCAAATTAAAGCCCTTTCTGTCCTTTAAAAAACAGTATATAATATGTGTCGGTGCAATAAATGAGAGAGATGCAAATTGCAGTTGAACGCAAACAGCAAGAAAATGCAAAAATTGCTTGTGTCATTAAGCGTAAGTCAAGCTTCTGAAGCTGTGTCCTTAAGGGGTTAAGAGAGTTGTTTATGTGATATTGACAGACTTACTCGAATCCAACTCTCTGCTTGACCCGCTTCAGTCTGGATTCCCAGCTCATCACTCTGTTGAAAAGGCTCTGACCAAAGTATCCAATTTAATTACTGCAAATTCTCGTGGTCAGTATTTTATCCTAATTCTCTTTGATCTTTCTGCTGCTTTTGACACTGTTGATCATCAACAGCTTATTTTCATCCTCTGTAATATCAGTATTCCTGGTGCTCCTCCTATCTATCTCAGTGTTTCTGTCTCTGGCTCTGCCTCTTCTCTCCAACCCCTCTCTATTCCCTGTTCCTCAAGGTTCTGTCCTTTGTCCCCTACTGTTCACAATCTATATTGCCTCCCTTGGTAAACTCATCAACTCCTTTGGCTTCCAATAACATTGCTATGCAGATGACACACAAATCTATCTGTCCTTTTACATGCCTCTCTATTAGTTCTAACTGGATGGCTGCTCACTTTCTTAAACTTAACCTGTCCAAAACAGAACTTCTGGTCTTTCCTTCCTAAAGTGTTGCTACTTACATGTCTATTTCCCTCCTAGTCAATGGCAATACCATCAACTCTACCTTGCAGACTCTCTGTCTAGGTGTTCCCTTTGACTTTGACCTCCCATTCATGCCTCATGTCCAGGTGATCGCCAAATCCTGCGGCTTCTATCTCAAAAACATAGCACACAACCACCCCTATTTAATGCAGGATGCGGTTAAAGTGCTGGTCAATACAGCTATCCTCGTTCTCTTTGCCTACTGCAATTTGCTTCTCAGTGGTCTTACGTGTTCCCAACTTGCCCTGTTACAGTCTGTAATGAATTTGCCGGCGAGGCTCATCTTCTTGTCCCATAAATTTTATTTTGGGGGGGGGTGATGATTTGGTGAAAAAAATGGGGCAAACAGAAATGAAATGGATATTCCAACTAGATACCCTACATCCAAAAGGTTTGAACAATGACTTTGAACTCTGCCTTTTTTTATGATATAGACATTTTTTAAGTATAATTTTTTTCTTCTTTTGGTATCTCTAATTAGGTGTGGTTGTCTAATATTTTTTAATTTTTGAAAATCTATTTTATTATTATTATTTAATATTTTGAATATGCTGATTTCAATTTCTGTTTGCTACCTACATTTCACTTTAAATTAATAGGTATGGTTCAATATACACCTTTGCACCATTTTTTATGTATATGCAGCCTGTTAATGGAGCTATGATATAGGTTTGTGCTCCTGCTTTAAGATATGTATATTATTTTTCACAAATCTATGCATTAACATATTAAACATATTTTTGGTTATGATTGTATATCTGTATATCTCTCCCTAGATATGCATATTACTGCTTATTACATTAATGGATTAACAAAATCATATATATCTTTAATTTCCAATATAATGGAATTTTGTGAATCTATCTGTCATTATTGTAAATATCTCTTTGGTGTTATATTAATACTCCTTTTCTCTCTTTTCGATTTTGTGTATATTATCAAACATCCATCGTTTGATACAAATAAGTATTGCATGAACTACGAATGGACTTATCTGGCAGCCGCCAGTACTAACGATGACGATCGGGACTAACTGGAAGTGACGTTGCGGCTACTCCGATACGTCACTTCTGCACTTACGTATATTACCAGCAGATGAACCGGAAACCTTTGCCTTATGTGGGTAGACGCAAACGACGATGGAAGATGACCAGAGCCAATAGGAACAAGACTTCCGGATATATAAACGGAGGGAAAAACAACAGCAGGAATCTGATTGAAAAAGCCTTTTCAGCAAGGTGAAACGTGTCTCGGACAGCCTGGACTTTTAAATTGACCATTATATATTTTATGTATGTTTATTCAATAAATTGTTTTTATTTTTCACTGAGTTCTATGAGCTGCAGCATCTTCTTCCTCCTTCAAAAGAAGAGTTGTGCCCTCTTAAAGGCGCAGTGCTTATTATACTGAGAGCCCAGTCCACATTGGCTCTCAATAAGGTAAGCAAGTACATGCACCAACTTTATTGTGATATTGATTTAAAGGATAACACACTAGGATTTTGTTCCATTTTTCTTTCTCCTTTTTCTGAGTGCCTGGACGTTAATATACAAGAAGTCTGGTATTCTCTTTAAATACCTTTGTGCTTGTGACTTGAGCCTATCCTCCCCAGGCTCTAAGTATTAAGTTCTAAACATACTACACCATATTGTTCCCATTTATCTCTTTCTCCAGATATTCTTATATCTTAAATTTGTATCCATTATCATAAGGGTAAGTTGTTTCAAAACTAGCGCTCCACTGGGTTTGTTTGTTGTGACAATTCTGTCCCACTCAAATTACTCCATATTTTTGCATGTATTTGTGTTGAGGTTAGAGGTACCTAAACATGTGTTGAGCTGCTCACCCTAATTGGGTTCTGTATTCTATTTAATTTTAAGCACCTTATATTTCACAGTTTATTTGTATTTATCATCTTCTTGTCTGCCCACACTTCCCACGCATCCCCCCTTTTCAATCCATACATTAGCTTCCCATTAGATATAAGGCTCAATTTAAAATTCTGGCTCTTGCTTACAAATCTCTACATAATGCTGTTCCAACCACCCCTATTTAATGCAGGACGCAGGCTAAAGTGCTGGTCAATACTGCTATCCCTCTTACTTTTTGCCTACTGCAATTTGCTTCTCAGTGGTCTTATGTGTTCCCAACTTGCCTTGTTACAGTCTGTAATGAACTTGGCAGCAAGGTTCTTTTCATTCCATACATTGCTTCCCATTAGATATAGGGCTCAATTTAAAATTCTGGTACTTGCTTACAAATCTCTACATAATGCTGTTCCAACCTATCCTATCCTCCCTAATACACAATGATGTCCCGTCTAGGCCCTTATGCTCCTCCAAAGACCTTTATTCTATCAGCTGTTCATACTCCCACCTCACCTTCAAGTTTTCTCTAGGGCTGCACCTGTTCCTGTTGAATACCTTTTAATTCCCACACCCGGATTCCTCTCCTGCAACTGTCATAAGCCCCCTAGCCCTCCCCTGTCCTCTCCCCCCCCCCAACTAAATGCTCAGTGAATACTATTTTAGCAAATACATAAAAGGCGTCTCACTGATATGTAGATAAACTGTATATATAGTCCTCAGAGGTTAATCCTTCCGGATTTCCAGGGAATCCGTATATGAAAGATAAAAACACAACAAACTTCCAATGGTATAGTATGTACTGAGTGAATAAGCAAAAAGAAGAAAATGGAGGATAATAGATAGGTAAGAGATCTCTCTAGTTTAGTGAATAGTTCTTGCTGACTAAAACTAGGATAGCTAATATGAATAGGGCTATTTATTTCTGTATCGAAAACATGGTCTACATCAATAATGTAATTGTTTCTATAGTCAAAAATATACATAATAAAAGGTGTTTGCAAAGCAGCTGACTCCGGAGGGAATTATACAATGTGTTGAAAGAAGGTGGAGGAGTCTGCGCTAGATAGCAAAAATGAATAAAAGCTGTAACCCTCAAAAGGGAATCCCTCAAGAACCCTTAATGAGATAAAGAGGAAGAAAGAAGGGGTGAAGGGCTGCGCTAAATAAATAAAATTAAAATGTAAAATATAAGATATAAAATAAGTGGATATTAAACTGATAAAATAATAAAATGTACAATAAAAGAGATAATAAATATAAGGATGAAACAGAGTCCGTGCATTAATAAAGATAAAACTTAAAGAGTACAATAAAATACATAAAAGGCGTCTCACTGATATGTAGATAAACTGTATATATAGTCCTCAGAGGTTAATCCTTCTGAATTTCCAGGGAATCCGTATATGAAAGATAAAAACACAACAAACTTCCAATGGTATAGTATGTACTGAGTGAATAAGCAAAAAGAAGCAAAATGGAGGATAATACACTCACATTTGTTGGAGCTTTAGACTAGCTCTTAGTTGAATCGCACTTAGCGGTATGATCCCCGCTAATGGATTTACTAGGAGGGTGGGTTCGTCCGTCCGGCTCGAGTTTCGTGGGATTCCACAAGGTATATAAAAACAAATATAGTGCTCTCAGTAGGAAGAGAAAACAAAATAAAATAAAATAAAATATTCTCACAATGTTAGAGCAGGGAGTACTGCTCTGTTTTTAGCGCGCTGGTTGAATGCCAGGAAAATTAAAAAAATAAAAATTTGTTGTGTATGTACAATAAAACAAAATTGGTCCTATAGATAAGGGTACCAAATAAAAGTTTTTATTGTTAATTTACACAGTAAAAAACCATTTGACGCGTTTCACCTCATGGGCTTTATCAAAAATGGCTAAGGGCAATATCCTGGCACTCTTGCTAAATCTAATACACAATCGTACCAAATACTATCCCATCAAAACCAAAGACAAACTTATTCTCCTCCACCCAGAAAATACCACCATAACACATATTTTAACAAAAGACATCTCTCACCAAAACCACAGAGATCTAGATACATAAACGATCGCACTGAAAACTTTAAATCACCCACTACCCCCATCACAATAATAGATACCAATTGCTGTCCATTGATTCCGAATTTGAGAATGAGGACCATTTTTTAGAGATACGCACACACCCAAGTACTCTGACCCAAACACCCTATCCATCATGATCCCAGAAAAGAACCTTAAGTTTAGAGGAAGAAGAAGTGGGAGACGTGAACAAGAGAGAAAAACTAGAAAGATAATACCAAAAACAAAGGATTCACAAAGTGGGATTTTTAACCTTACACAAAAGAACCTCACTAATGCTCAATTATCGGTTTTAAGTAAAGGACTTAAGTTTGCCCTGACCAATTCTTTTAAATCATTTCAAGCTTTTATCGATGTAAATAAATTTGTCAGAAAAGCGACCTTAAAACGGTATTTTAATGAAAAATCAGAAGAAAATTCAGATTCTAGAGAAATAACTACAACTAGTTTATTATTATCCCCTCCTTCCTCCTCGAGAGATCAAGTCATAAATACACATTACAAAGAAAAATCTAAATGTTATCCTACTTTTATGAAGACAGCTCCTCTAACTGTTTTTGAGAAATTAGTCACTAAAGACTTAGATAAGCTGCATACAAAAAAACAAGACCCACATAATCTAACTAATGCTGAAAGAAAGGCTCTTAAAGAATTACAAGACGATAAAGAAATCGTCATAAAACCTGCAGACAAGGGAGGAGGTCTCGTTATGTTACCTAGTACCATGTATATTGAAGAAGCGCACAGACAACTAAATGATGCAGATATATATGAAAAATTAAAATCAGATCCTACCATAAGTATAAAAAAATATTTTATCTGTTTTTTTTAGAGAAGGGTTTATCCTTGGGTATTCTTAACAAACATGAGTTCAATTTCCTAGATAAAAAATCCCCAGTAATTCCGGTTATTTATTTTCTTCCAAAAATACATAAAAATTAAACTAATCCTCCCGGTAGACCAATAGTGTCAGGAATAGGCTCTCTCCTCTGTAATCTCTCGCAGTATATTGACACCCTCCTTCAACCTGCGGTTAAGAAAATGAAATCTTACCTACAAGATTCAATGTCTCTTTTAAACTTTTTAAATCATTTTAAGTGGAATTCTAACTTTATTTTAGCTACTTGTGATGTACAGTCTCTGTACACTATTATACCTCATGATTTTGGTTGTGCAGCTATTAAAAATATTTTAATCAATGAGAATAGACTCTCTACAAAACAGATAGATTTTATATTAGAAGGAATAAATATTATTTTAAAAAATAACTATTTTTGGTTTATAGATTCCTTTTATCTACAAAAAAGAGGCATAGCTATGGGTACCCTTTTCGCCCCAAACTACGCAAATTTATTTATGTCAGATTAGGAATCTTACGCAATATATGATGGAGACCATCTCAGGGCGAACCTGGTCTCATACTTCAGATATATCGACGATCTTTTTTCATTTGGAATGGGTCCGAAGAAAGTCTTACTTCTTTTATTGACAACTTAAATACTAACAATAGAGGTATAATTTTAACTCATGATTTTAGCAGAGAAAAAATAAATTTTTTAGATCTTGATATTTTTATTAAAGATAATAAAATACAAACTAAAACGTTTTTTTTTTAAAAAGTCTGTGTTAATACAGCTATTGACAAAACTAGCTGTCACTATAAACCATGGCTTGACAGTGTCCCAAAAAGTCAATTCTTAAGATTATGAAGAAACTGTACTGATTTAGATAATTTTAATGAACAAGCAGATATCTTAAAAAATAAATTTATGGAGAAGAATTATCCAGAAACAGATCTATTGAAAAATATTAATGAAGTAAAAACTATCGACAGAGATGAATTTTTAAAATACAAAATAAAAACTAAAAATGATTCTAAATGTCTTCCTATTACTTTTGATTATAATAACAAAGATAAAGAAATTTAAAAAATTATCAAAAAACATTGGCATATTTTAGAACAAGATGATAAACTTAAAGAAATTATTCCAAATAAGCCAAACATAGTTTTTAGAGGAGCTCCGAATTTTAAATCCATTTTAACTACCAATTTTACCAAAAATACTCAAAATACAAATCCAATATCTTTTTTTCCTCAGGCTAAAGGTTTTTATAAGTGTAAAACGTGTATTGTGTGCAAAATTACCGATTTCACTCTACCATCTAAAATTACTGATTTTACTTCCAACAAAACGAGAATTACCTATCCAATTAAAGAATTTATAAGCTGTAATACCAAAAATGTGATTTAATTGCTTGAATGCCCTTGTGGCTTCCAGTATGTTAGAATGACCACAAGGTGCTTAAAAATAAGGTTAAGCAAACATTGTAGAAACATCAAAAATGGATACTTAAATCATTCAGTATCCAGACATTTTTTAAATCACAACAAAGATCCTAAATTATTAAAATGTATGGGAATTAAAAAATGCACAATACCATGGAGAGGAGGTGATATTAAGAATATTTTAGGTAAAGTGGAAATGGAATGGGTTTATAAGTTACAAACCCTTACACCACAAGGTCTTAATGCAGATTCAGATTTGCATAATTTTTTATAATCTATTTTTGATTCAATAGTATTTTTCTTAGAGAACATACTTATATCCTTTTATCTTTCTTTTCTTATCCATATTTTTATTATATATTTATATATTTTTTATTATATATATTTCTTATTCCCATTTATATATTCTGTTCTATCCATTAATATCTGCTCCTAATCCATTTTTATTGTGTCCTCAATTTATTTTAGTGTATCTCTTATTATGTGTTTTAAAATGCAATACCTATTCCAGTGTGTTTCTTATTATGTTTCTAATATGCAACACTTGTATGCAAATTGTTTTAAAATGCAATATATGTATACAAAATATTTTATTTCTATTTCATGTTTTAATTCAATGGTCTTAAAATACCCAATGTCCATTTGTATATTTTTATATTAACCCATTTCTGTGTATGCTGAATGGCTGACTATAGAAGTTTCAGTCAGCCGCTCATTATTTTTTTCGGCAGTGACCGGCAGAGATTTAACTACATTTACCAAGAGCCTCTGCTCTTTCCTGCCGGTCACGTGCTGCGGCGTCCCTTGCCGCCCACAGTTACTCTGCCGCATACTGATCTCAGCAGTGACCGGCATACATCACCCATGAGCCTTTGCTCGCTCTTGCCGGTCACGTGCTGTTATGTTATACCCTCGACCATGTGACCTATTGTTATATAAAATATCATAAAAACGAACGCTCGTTTTAAAGAAAAATCTATACTTTACATAATACACTACCTATATATACAATACTTTTATTTTATTTTTATTTTTTTGTGAATTTGACTAATATGCATAATACTCTGTAACCCTTGCCTGTGATTGGTGCATTTGTTTTAGGCGCCAATTTAAATTATTGTATAATTGTTATATAAACTGTTCCATGCCAGGATATTGCCCTTAGCCATTTTTGATAAAGCCCACGAGGTGAAACGCGTCAAATGTTTTTTTACTGTGTAAATTAACAATAAAAACTTTTATTTGGTACCCTTATTTATAGGACCAATTTTGTTTTATTGTACATACACAACAAATTTTTATTTTTTTAATTTTCCTGGCATTCAACTGTTCCTGTTTAAAGGAATCCACAGGTGGGGATTATTCCACCAGAGCGCTAAAAATAGAGCAGTACTCCCTGCTCTAACATTGTGAGTATATTTTATTTTATTTTATTTTGTTGTTTTTTTTATCTTTCATATACGGATTCCCTGGAAATTCAGAAGGATTAACCTCTGAGGACTATATATACAGTTTATCTACATATCAGTGAGACGCCTTTTATGTATTTTATTGGACTCTTTAAGTTTTATCTTTATTAATGCACGGACTCTGTTTCATCCTTATATTTATTATCTCTTTTATTGTACATTTTATTATTTTAATATCCACTTATTTTATATCTTATATTTTACATTTTCATTTTATTTATTTAGCGCAGCCCTTCCCCCCCTTTCTTCCTCTTTATCTCATTAAGGGTTCTTGAGGGATTCCCTTTTGAGGGTTGCAGCTTTTATTCATTTTTGCTATCTAGCGCAGACTCCTCCCCCTTCTTTCAACTATTTTAGCAACCTACTTTTTTACACTATCCTTACCTTTTGTGGTGCTATACCCCACTCCCTCTAGCATGTAAGCTCATTGAGCAACCCCCTCTGCTCCTGTGCATCCAACTCGTCTGGTTATAATACGTATCTGTTATTCCATCCATTGTACAGCGCTAAGGAATTTGTTAGTGCTTTAAAAATAATAATAAAACTCTAAACTATGAATACACTTATCGATGAGGATGCTGAACCTTGAGTTCCTACCTTAGACCCATAATATAATCATAAAATAAATGAAGGATTCCGGAAATCCAAATGATATCTGTAAATGCTTTAATTTATCTGCACAGTGGATGAAATAAAGCAGCTGTACATATAATTTGGAGTCCTTTATTATTTTTTGCATCTGCCTGTCAGCATAGAGAGAAGAGAATCGGAGATGATGTTTCATGCCCCCTCAATATCCTTTCATGCAGTCTCCATCACCACCTACTCATTCCCCTTCTAATCTCAATGGCACATGCTTTCATCACAGTCTGTGCAAGGTTGTAAAGTCCATTTGGAGCAGAAGGAGGCTGGGATTTCAGCAGACATAGTCAAATAACATGGATAGCACACTATTGCTGATGTGCTGGAGATGTATGTTCAGGGATCTCCAGAACATCTACAAGTCTCAAATTCTACATTATATCCTTGTAATGTTTTAAATCCACCAGAATTATGTCCAGTATTATTATTAACTCCATTCTCCTCCATTAGGCACATTCACCTCTCATGATCACACACATATGATGTTTCAGCCAATACTACTAGTTCATTCAATTGTAGGTGAAGTTAATATGAGCTAAACAAACATTTTATATGGCCGTGGTGGAGTTGCTATGGCTCAGGCCTGATCAGTCACATAAAACAAACCAACGCAGTATACCAACAAAACGAGTTAATAGTGAAGTGAGCAAAGAACCCATTAACTTAAAACCTTAAAAGGATAATAGAAGCATCAAAACAACTTTAGCTCCTATACTTCTTCTGCACTCTTTCAATCGCCTTGCCCTCATCACTGCTTGGAGGCGTAGACCCCCAAGGATTGGTGTTAACACAATCCTCTTGCCGGCAGTTCTTGGAGGACTGGGGATTCCTGACATAAATCATAAATCATGTAGCCTTGTCCTCTACAGTTTTTCTATTTGACAGATAGCATGATACATTTAACACATTTATAAGATAATGTCAATACAATTATAAATGCATGTGGTATTACAATATAAATAACAATAAAGTGTTACAAATTGAATCGTACAATTCCACAAAGTGGTAGTCAACATCAGATTATTTTTATTAAAATTACATAGAATAACATTGTAGTCAGATTAAAAGAAATGTGGGGACGAAAGGAAAGAAGAGAAGAGTGAGCTAGGAGCAGAGGCGTAATTAGAAACCACGGGGCCCTGGTGCTAATATTGCCCTGTGGCCCCCCCCCCCATACATCTATCTCCTACCCCACACATCCCCGCCCCCCACCCCCACACACATGCAGACAGATACACATGCAGACACATACATACAGACACAGACACACACACACATACACTCATATACACACACGCAGACATATACACACATACACTGACTTCAGTGTGGTAGGCAGCAGAGTTCCTGTCAGACGCGGCGAGGGAGCTGTGTTCTCTCTGCTCTGCTCCCTCACTGTGTCTGACAGGAACTCTTCCGCCCGCCGGGGGGTCCTCTTGGGCCCCCTAATGACAGGTGAAACCCGGAGGGGGCGGCACCTAGGCAGCCGGCGGTCGCAGGGGTTGTAGCTGCGGCTAGGCCCCTAGCAGTGAGGGGCCCAGTCGCAGCTGCGACCCCTGCAATCATTGTAAGTAAGCCACTTGCTAGGAGGATAAAGGAGGTGGTAATCTGAAGTCCCGTATCATGAAGGTGGATATGTAAGAAATATTATTTCTGATTACCATGACACTGTGGCCTCCACTCTTATACACTCACAGTCTTCCTTAAGGTTGGGTTTGGAGGATGAAATGGTGGCCCCATACAGATTGCATCAACTTATCTGGCTTCCTCAAAACCGTCTACTAAAACTTAGCACAACACTCCCACTGATCACTTACATGCGTCAAGTGTGGCACAGATATGTCCATTGTCTCCTCAGTCAGTCACAACCTCTTGTACTAGCTTCTATCAAAACACTAAAACTCTATACACAAGATTTAAATTTAAAGCAGTGGCGGAAAGGCCCTTAATGCCGGAGGGCGTACTATTACGTCCTATTTTAGGCGTCTCTAAATGCCGCCGGGCGTAATAGTATGCCCTCCGTTTTTTTTTTACTTACCCGGTCGCCGGCGATCCCACACCCGCGATCGCGGTTGGGGGGACTCCCACGGAGCCCCCCGCGGCACGTCCGACCTCCTACAGTCCCCCCCGGCCATGTGAGAGTGAGGTCCTTGCGAGGACCTCACAATCACATGGCCGGGTTAGCTGGTTGCTGCATTGCCAGCAGGGGAACTGCCTGTAATGACGGGTAGTCGCCCTGCTGGCTGGAAATCAAATTAAATTAAAGTTAAAATAAGTGTAAAAAAAATAAATTATATACTTAGATCATATATATATATTATATATATATATGATCTAAGTATATATATATATATATACACATATACATACACACATACACTGTCAAGGTGTATTTTACTATTAATATATATATAATTATATATATATATATATATATATATATTAATATCAAATTACACGTAGACTGATACTGATTAAATATATATAATTATTGTTATATATATATTTATATCTAATATAAAAAAATTTAAATACGTTAAAAAATTAAATTAAAAAAATAATTAAAAATAAATCATTAAAAAATATATAGATGTATGTTATTTCATTCTAACTGTATTGTGATATTAATATATATATATATATATATTTATATCAAAATACACATAGAACGAAATAATATATATATCTTTATACATAAATATATACGTATATATCACTATATATATACCTATATATATACCGTATATACTCGAGTATAAGCCGAGTTTTTCAGCACATTTTTTGTGCTGAAAAACCCCAACTCGGCTTATACTCGAGTCACTGTCTGTATTATGGCAATTTACATTGCCATAATACAGACTGGGGGAGCTGTTACTTACCTCTCCTGCAGCTCCTGTCAGCTCCCTCCTCCTCCGCGCCGGTCCGGTCAGCACCTCGGTCAGCTCCCAGTGTAAGTCTCGCGAGAGCCGCGGGGTCATAGTGCGGCTCTCGCGAGACTTACAGTGTGAGCTGACCGAGGAGCTGCACGGACCGGCGCGGAGGAGGAGAGAGCTGACAGGAGCTGCAGGAGAGGTAAGTAACAGCTCTGCCAGCCCCCCTCCTCCCCCCACTGAACTGCTAATGCCACTGGACCACCAGGGAAGGAGAGCCCCCCTCCCTGCCATGTATCAAGCAGGGAGGGGGGACAACAAAATAAATAAATTAATAATACATAAATAATAATAAAAATAATAATAATAAAAATAATAATATATACATATAAATAATAATAAAATAATAATAAAAAAATAATTAAAAAAATAATAATATAACAAAAAAAATTTAAAATAATATTATTATTATTTTTTTTTATAAAAATGCCCACCCCCCACCAAGGCTCTGCAACACAAACACACACTGCATCACACACACACACTGCACTCATACACACACACTGCACTCATACACACACACACTGCACTCATACACACACACTGCACTCATACACACACACTGCACTCATATACACACACTGCACTCATATACACACACTGCACTCATACACACACACTGCGCATTCATACACACACACTGCATTCATCATATACACACACTGTAAATAAATATTCAATTAATATAATTTTTTTAGGATCTAATTTTATTTAGAAATTTAACAATAGCTGCTGCATTTCCCACCCTAGTCTTATACTCGAGTCAATACGTTTTCCCAGTTTTTTGGGGTAAAATTAGGGGCCTCGGCTTATATTCGGGTCGGCTTATACTCGAGTATATACGGTATATATATATATATATAAAATATTTTTTAAAAATTAT